AAAAAAAAAAAAAAAAAAAAAAAAAAAGCCATGATTTTATCAATATAATTCTGTCCTCTAGAGCCTCACAGGAATCTAATCTCACCCTGGACAGACTTCTCTGAGGCTAATGACTGCACTTTGGAACAGGACAAATCTGCTTAAAATAGGATGAGGCTACAGGATATACCATCTGTATTAGTTTTCTAGGGCTGTGGTAACTAGTTACCACAAACTGGGTGACTTTATAAAACAATTTATTCTCTTACAGTTCTTGAGGGCAGAAGTCCAAGATCAAGGTGTCAGCAGGGTTGGTTCCTACTGGAAGCTCCAGGGGAAGAACTGTTGCATGCCTCTCTCCTAGCTTCTGGTGGATGCCAATACTTCTTGACACCCCTTGGCTAGTAGACCCATTACTCCAGTCTCTGCCACCTTCTTCACATGCTGTTCTCCCCTGTGTGTCTCTGTGTCGAAACTTCCCTCTTCTTATAAGGATACCAGTTGTTGGATTAGGACTCACCCTATCCAGTATGGCTTCATCTTAACTTGAATTTATCTGCAAAGACCCTATTTCCAAATCAGGCCACATGGAATTTGGTGGGGTAGACACTATTCAACCCAGTATACCATCTAAAATGCATCCATCATAAAACAGAGATTTAGGATGGAGCTCAGTGGCTCACACCTGCAATCCTAGCACTTTGGGAGGCCGAGGTGGGTGGATCACCTGAGGTCAGGAGTTTGAGACCAGCCTGTCCAACATGGTGAAACTCCATCTCTACTAAAAATACAAAAATTAGCCCTGTGTGGTGGCAGTCACTTGTAATCCCCGCTACTCAGGAGGCTGAGGCAGGAGAATCACTTGAACCTAGGGGGGCAGAGGTTGCAGTGAGCCAAGATCACACCACTTCACTCCAGCCTGGGCAAAAGAGTGAAACTCAATCTCAAAAAAAGCAAAAACCAGAAATTTAGGTATATAATATAGGCATATATATATATATATAACATGTAATTTTACATGATAAACAATGTATATGTAGATTATATACCTATATCTACCAGAAGGGATTCTAAATACATGATACATCTTCCAAATTATCAGAAAAGATAGGAAAGAAGAAGCAGGGCCACAAACAAAACTATGACAAAATATTTTTAAAGAAAGGAAGCATTACCAGACAGGTGTAGTGTTTATCTTATGTGTGTTTTTCAAAAAAATACAGACATAAAGAAGATAGAAGATTTATCTGCACACAGAAAATGTCCCTGAGGTCAGGAGTTTGAGACCAACCTGACCAACATGGTAAAACCCTGTGTCTACTAAAAATACAAAAATTAGCTGAGCATGGTGGCAGGCACCTGTAATCCCAGCTACTCAGGAAGCTGGGGTAGGAGAATTGCTTGAACCTGGGAGGTGCAGGTTGCAGTCAGCCGAGATTGCACCACTGCACTGCAGCCTGGGCAACAGAGCAAAACTCCATCTAAAAAAAAAAAAAAAGGTGACATTTAATCTAACATACACAGGTTGAGGATCAAGACAGAGAAAATAGTTCTCAAAGGCCAAAGGAAAGGCACAGGTTCCAAAGCAGGAATAGGGTTGGCGGTTTTTGCAAGCACAGTGGCTAGGGGACAGTGAACCGGGGCTTCCAGTGCCCACTTCTTCACTGGGTGCAGCGAGTACTGTGCCCAGGGCCCATGAGACTTTTAGGGGCTCACGAAAAGTGTGTTAATTTCTTTTGAAATCAGAAGGAAACATATGAAATCTTACAGTCAATGAATGTGTTTGGCTTTATAGCATGCAATCATGAAATATAACGTTTAAATTTTTTTTTTTTTTTTTTTGAGATGGATTTTCGCTCTTGTTACCCAGGCTGGAGTGCAAGGGCACGATCTCGGCTCACGGCAACCTCCGCCTGCTGGGTTCAGGCAATTCTCCTGCCTCAGCCTCCTGAGTAGCTGGGATTACAGGCACGTGCCACCATGCCCAGCTAATTTTTTGTAGTTTTAGTAGAGACTGGGTTTCACCATGTTGTCCAGGATGGTCTCGATTTCTTGACCTTGTGATCCACCCGCCTCGGCCTCCCAAAGTGCTGGGATTACAGGCTTGAGCCACCGCGCCCGGCTAAATTTTTTTTTTAATGGAGGAAGGGGCCCACGAAGGCCAGAATGTGGTCCTACTCAGCTCCTAAGCAGTGATGCACCCATGGTCTGCACACCATAGAAATGTATTCCATAGATTAGTGGAGCACAGGCAAGCACAGAGGGCCAGGTCATGGATGGCCTTGGTCAGGAGTTTTGCTTATACTCTAAATTCAGTGGGAAGCCTTGAACAACGCAAGGGTTAGGGGTTGTGTTTTTCAAAAAGATACAGATATAGACTGGGCACAGTGGCTCATGCCTGTAATATCAGAACTTTGGGAGGCCAAGGCGGATGGATCACCTGACGTTGGGAGTTCGAGACCAGCCTGAGAAACATGGAGAAACCTCGTCTCCACTAAAAATACAAAATAAGCTGGGCATGGTGGCACATGCCTGTAATCCCAGCTACTCGGGAAGCTGAGGCAGGAGAATCACTTGAACCTAGGAGACAGAGGTTGCAGTGAGCCAAGATCATGCCATTGCACTCCAGGCTGAGCGACAAAGTAAAACTCTGCCTCAAAAAAAAAAGAAGATACAGATATAGAGAAGACAGTTGGAAATCTGCGCATAACTCTTATTTATTTATGTATGTATAGAGACATGGGTCTCATTAACATTGCTCAAGCTGGACTCGAGTTCCCGGGCTCAAGTGATCTTCCCAGCTCAGGGTCCCGAGTAGCTGGGACTGCAGGCTGTGTATAACTTTTGACTCCCCCAAACTAAACTACTAATAGCCTATTGTTGACAGGAACCTTTACCAATAATATAAACAGTCAATTAACACATAGTTTGTACATATAAGATATACCGCGTTCTTACAATAAAGTAAGCTAGAGGAAAGAAAATGTTTATAAGAAAATCATAAAGAAGACAAATATATTTACTACTCATTAAACAGAAGTATGTCATCCTAGAGGTCTTCATCCTCCTCATGTTCATGTTACATAGGCTGAGGCAGAGGATGAAGAGGACGGGCTGATCTCAGGGGTGGCAGAGGTGGAAGAAAATACGTGGATAAGTGGATCCACAAAGTTCAAACCTGTGTTGTTCAAGGGTCACCTGTGGGAGGTGACATGAACATGACTGAGATTAGGAATGATGGAGAATCTAGGTGTGGTGGCATGTGCCTACGGTGCCAGCTGCTCAGAAGGCGGAGTGAGGAGGATTGCTTGAGTCCAGTTTGAGGCTGCAGTGAGCTGTGATTGCATCACTGCATTCCAGCCTGGGAGGAATATAGAGGGCAGAGTAAAACCTTGTCTCCTAAAAAAGAGGGAAGGGAGTTTATCTCCTTCCTTAATCTCCTTTTGATCTTGATTATTTTTTATAACAATGTATTTTATAATGATTATAGTTATATAGATATAACTATAATTCTTAGTATACAGAGATCTTTTTCTAGCAATCCTCCTGCCTTGGTCTTTCAAAGTGCTGGGATTACAAGCATGAGGCACCACGCTCTGCCCAGAGATCTTTTTCAAAAGCTTTTCAATGACAGAATTTTCTAGTTGGTCCCTCATTAATCAGGGCCTTTCTCAAATTTCAGGCAATCACTGGATCATCTGCTCCAAGGAACATAGGAGTGGGAATATGAGGAATATGTTAGAATGGAAGCTGTATCTCTAGAGAGTTGTTAGGCTTACGGCTCAGTTGGGCAATGCCATCCCAGCCCCATCTCCTTTTTGCTGGGCATCAATTTCCTCAACTGTGAAAAGGGATAATAAAATTGAATATGTTTTTAAAAATTGAATATGTATATTTGAGAGATAAATGAAATGAAAACATACATAATTTACTTGGGAGAAATTTATTCCAGTAAGAGTTGGAAGCTGGCAATCTCATATGCTAACCTGGACTGTTTTCTATCAAAATAATGAGGTGAGACTTTCTGTTCATTTGGTTTTATTATATTTTTATTCCCAAGGTGTGCTAATGCTGTAATTATTTTATATATGCTTAATAGATAAATTAAAATGATTGACATATAGAGGTAATTATTGACATATAAACAAATGAAACTCTTAACCACTGCCGAAGCCACTTCTAAGGATAGCTTTTGGAAAACAAGAAAAGAAACTTCACCAACTTCATTCTATTTCATTATTCAGTACGATAGCCACTGGCCACATGCAGCCATCGAACACTTAAATGTGATTGGTCCACACAAGCCTGGGCAACATAGTGAGACCCTGTTTCTATAAAAATAAATATAAAAATAAAAAATTAGCCAGTCTTGGTGGCAAACACCTGTAGTCCCAGCTACTCAGTAGGCTGAGGAAGGAGGATCGGTTGAGGCCAGGAGTTTGAGTTTGCAGTGAACTATGCTTGCAATGCACTCCAGCCTGAGCAACAGAATGATATTCCATCTCAAAAAAAAAAAAAAAAATTTGGCTGGTCCAAATGGAGATGTGCTATCAGTGTAAAATGCAGATTGAATTTCAAATAAAAAAGTAAAATATCTCAATAATGTTTATATTGATTACATATTAAGTTGATAATATTTTGGATATATTGCAATAAATACCATAGCATTTAAATTTTTTTTTTTTTTTAGATGGAGTCTTGTTCTGTTGCCCAGGCTGGAGTGCAGTGGTGCAATATCGGCTCACTGCAACCTCCACCTCTCAGATTCAAGTAAATCTCCTGTCTCAGCCTCCCAAGTAGCTGAGACTATAGGTGTGCACCACCACGCCCAGCTAATTTTTGTATTTTTAGCAGAGACAAGGTTTCACCATGTTGGCCAGGTTGGTTTCGAACTCCTGACCTCAAGTTTCCCAAGGTGCTGGGATTACAGGCATGAGCTCCCTCGCCCAACCTCACAACATTTAAATTAATTTTATCCATTGTTTTTACTTTCTAAATGTTGCTACTAGAATTAATTTTTTTTTTTTTTTTGAGACGGTATCTTGATCTGTTGCCAGGCTGGAGTGCAGTGACATAATCTCCGCTCACTGCAACCTCTACCTTCTGGGTTCAAGGAATTCCCCTTCCTCAGCCTCCCGCATAGCTAGGACTACTCAGCACAAGCTACCACGCCCAGTTAATTTTTTTGTATTTAGTAGAGACAGGGTTTCACCACGTTGGCCAAGATGGTCTCCATCTCCTGACCTTGTGATCTGCCTGCCGTCACCTCCCAAAGTGCTGGAATTACAGGCATGAGCCACTGTGCCCGGCCACTATTAGAAAAGTTGAAACTACATAAGTTCCTGCAGTCCCAGCTACTCAGGAGGCTAGGCAGGTGGATCCCTTAATCCTAGGAGTTTGAAACCAGCCCAGGCAACACAGCAACATTTTTAAAAATAAATGAAATAACCTATGTAGCTCCTATTACATTTCTTCATTTCTGTTGAACAACACAAACATCATCACTGTAACCCAGCTCTGCCTTCTACAAGAGGAGTGCACTGTCCTGAAACAAGTTGATTAAGCTCTATGACCCTGAGTTCCTCATCTGTAAAATGGGGAATTACAATAATACCCACTTCTCTGGGAATTAAATCAACTTTAATAAGATGACAGTGTGCACACCATTTGCTTTGCCTTGCTGGTCCCCAGCAAGCACTCGAGAAAGGTAAGTTTCTAGAATCATCGTCATTCACTTGCTCCCTGACTCTGATTTGTTCTTACCATTTGGGAAATGTCTGTTTCCTTGCAGTTTCTATCTAACTGTGTAGTTGGGGCTTCACTTGAAGAAATTACAGAGGAGGAGGAAGAGGAAGATGAAAATAAGTCAGCTATGCGGGAAGCTTCCACAACCAAAGTGAAGGAAGGCACATTCCAGGTTGTGGGCACGCTGTCCAGGCCGGACAGCCCACAGCCCAACTTTGCGGTGGAGACATACTCAGTAAGTCTGGGAGGCTCTGGCCAGGAGTAGACAGAGGGAAGAATCACCTTCTGCTCCAATGCCTTGACAACTTGTTTTACTGTTTGCCTCCCCTCCCCTCTCTTCCACAGGCATGGCTAGGTTGAGGGAATGGCTTTCTCTTGTGATGGAGATTTACCTTGGAGACCCCACTTTCAATTTCGGGCCAAAGCAAAGAGTTTAAATTAGATAGTTTTGGAAAGGTTGCATCTAATATGGACTTTCAGACTCATACAATTCTCTCTCTAGCATATTCTGCCCTGCATTATCCAAGATGAGTCTGTGCCATGATGGGCACCATCTGTGAAGGAGAAATAGGCCAGGCGCAGTGACTCATACTTATAATCGCAGCACTTCGGGAGGCTGTGGTGGGAGGATCATTTAAAGGCCAAGGGTCCAAGACCAGCCTCAGCAACATAGCAAGATCCTGTCTCTATTTTATATTTATGAAAATATTTTGTTTAAAGAGAAACATCCTTTGGTAATGCACCACTCAGAAATAATATACCATTGCGGTCTCTAGAAACAGTCCTAGTTTAGAAACAAATCCAACACAGTCCTAGTCCTGAGACGTTTAAATACCCTAAGAAGGAGTAGCTCTCTTCTTCTCCCAGGCCACCTCCTCCCTGACCCTGCCTGCTACTCTCTGGAGCCTACCATACAGCTTTCCACATGCTGTACCCTGGAGCAGCCTTCTCTCTTTCTCTTTTTACCTAACCCATCTTATTCATCCTTGTGTCACTTCCTCCCGGAAGCCATTCATGATTCCTTCTTCTCCCTCACTCGCAGTTTGGATTCTGAGCTCCCATATCATCCTTTGCCCGGCTAGATCATAACGCTTTTCACACTCATTGTTGTCACCTGTCTATTGTGAAGTCCATGGAAGTGGACCGTCAGCTTCTGGAGGGTGGAGACAGTGACTTGTTTATCCCCGTGTTTACCCATGTGTCTGTGGCACCTAACACAGCCACTGCTACAAAGTGGCCTCAATAAACACTTGTGGAATGGAGAAATGCAGGCCCCTGGACATCTTTGGGACCTTCCCATTCACCCCCTTTCCCTGTCTTCTGTGTATTCTTTCCCGTTCATCCCCCTCTGTCTTCTTACCACTGGCTTCTTCCTCTCCACCTAGACATATGCTCACATTGTGTAATGTAATATAAAATACTTCACTTGGCCTCCCTGCTGGCCATCAGCCTCTTTCCCTGCCCCTGGCCCCGTCACCACTGAACTTCAGGAGACCAGCCGCATTTACAGGCCTCACCTCTTCACCTCCCCATTCACTGGTCTATCCAGTGCTGGCTGGCTCTACCCACAACACTTTATAGGAAGTTCCCTGGCCAGTGTCCCCAGCAGTCTCCTGACTCCCAAGGGCTTAGCTCACCTGGCTTCACAGCAGCAGCCTGGCTTTCCTAGAGAAACTGGCCTTCCCTTCTGTGCCTCGGCTCTGCACCGACTTCCTAAGCACCCAAGCACTCCTTCCCAGCGTCTTTCTCTGGCTCCTTTTCCTCTTTTTACCCTTTAAAAATGCAGTTTTCCCCAGAGCTCCCTCGTTTCCTGTAACAGGTTGCCTTCCTAAATCTTATCCAGTCCTATAGCTTCAGCTCCCCACGTAAGCCAATGCTTTCAGCATCTGTCTGCAGCCTCCAAACCCAGCTGCCTCCTAGACCTGGTTGGCCTGCAGGCATTGTTAAATCCACATATTCAAAATCATATTTATCAGGCCCCCTACAAAACCACTCTTTGTACGACTTTGTACTACTGATTTTTATTAAGGGCCTTGCTATCTCTGTCAGTCGGGACTGTCTTGGACTGCATGTAATAGAAAGCAGAGGTGACCCAAACTGGCTTAATAAATAAGGAAATTCACCAGCTTATGTAGCTAGTGGCCCAGAAGTGGAACCAGCTTCAGGGCTGATCCACAGACTCCAGCTCCTCTTCCTGCCCCTTCCTGGGCTCAGCCCTCCTTGGGGGATGACTTTATCTTCAGGCTGGCAGTGAGGCTGCGACCGTTGAGGGCCTTAGTTCCTACACAGCGAGACCTTGGCAAAACAAACTTCCAGAAGTTCTCAGAGAAAGGAGGATGGCCATTGCCAGCAGTCCCTGGCAAGCATCTCTTTGAGTCTCACTGTCATGAATGGAGTCATTGTCCTTTTCTGGAGCTAGCCACTTACGCTTAGATCAATTAGGCTCATCCTTTAAGCTAGAAGAGGGAGTTAATTTCCTGCAGGCTGAGGAGTATCTGAAGCAAAATTGAGGTTCTGTTGGAGAAATGGAAGAGGAAACAGAAGTATGAAGACAACCAATAATGTCCTTTATCCCGTTTATTATGCACTTACCTTCCCTCAAAGCTGAAAACCTCAGAGAGCTGTGGGCTCTTGGCTTGCCCTTCACTCCTGAATCCTGCTGGTCATGGGGTCCTCAGCACATCTCTTTGTCTAGTGTCATCCCCTCCTTTCCGTTCTTGTAGCCATGTGCATTAGTTCTGATCTTCACTGTCTCTCACTACTCACCTGAATTTGATTCTGCGAATGTTTCTTGAGCACCCCAATGAGCCACAGAGGAACATGGAGCTCACGGCTTGGCAGGGACTCTGCAGCAGTAAATGTGGGGACAGAGGCGTGCACAGAGCATCGCCCAAGGCACTCTGAAAGGGGCACCTAAGGAGTTCTCAGTCTTATTTAGAGAGGCAGGAAAATGAAGCTTCAAACCCCTCCCTGCCAAACAGATCAAGGCCTCCTATGCTCTGATCTTTAGATCTTGTATCCTCCGTTAGCGCAAAGTCCTGCAGATGGCCCTCCCTTGGAAGTTTGTGATCTATTGGAGATGGTGGGGCTGAGGCTGCTCTTCCATGGTTGAGTGGAGCTTACAAGGCAGGTAAGGGGGGAAGGAAACACCATGCAAGGGGGAATGCCTGGGTAAGTGTGTGGTGTACTTTGGCATAGAAAGAGCATGGGTTGGCCAGGCACGGTAGCTCACAGCTGTAATCCCAGCACTTTGGGAGGCCAAGGCGGGAGGATCATGAAATCAGGAGATCAAGAACATCCTGGCTAACATAGTGAAACCCTATCTCGACTAAAAATACAAAAAATTAGCCGGGCATGGTGGCGTGCACCTGCAGTCCCAGCTACTTAGGAGGCTGAGGCAAGAGAATCGCTTGAACCCAGGAGGCAGAGGTTGAAGTGAGTCAAGCTGAGAGTGCACCACTGCACTCCAGCCTGGGCGAGAGTGAGACACCATCCAAAAAAAAAAAAAAAAAAAAAGAGCATGGGTTATAAGGAGCCACAGTGAAGACACAAGGTGACAGGAAAGGTGAGAGAGTGCTTGCTTCAGCAGCACATATACTGAAATTGGAATGACACAGAGAAGACCAGCAAAAAATAAAGCAAAGCAAAGGTGAGAGAGAGGTGAGAATGGAAACCGTTAGCCTGCTCCAGGTTATGAAAGGTGCTTCTACCTGGCTCAACAAGCCACCTGCTATTCCACGAGCTTTCTGGGCTGTGCCAGGTGAGCTTGTATTCACCCTTCCAACCCAAGTCAAATATCTTCTCCTATGAGACATAATCATGTTTCCCTTAGTCCTTCGAACCTCAGATATACCTCTATGACAGCCCTTTCCCGCTTTGGGGCTTCTGTGTCTAGCAGTACAGGTTACACACTGTACAGGAGTGCCTGGCTAAAGGAGTGAGTAGGGGCTGAAGAGCAGCCTGGTATGTTGGCTGTCCTGTGCCCCAGAGTCCACCCCTTCTTATTATTTTTTCACGAAGCAGGTTACCTTTTTTCCCATTTGTACAAAGGCTTCATGTGTGCTTGGTTGGGCCCTTGTCTACATTAGACCATGATTATGTGATATAAGTCTTCTCAAGAACACACACACATACAATGCTCCTTAGTATCGTCAGCTATATATTATTCAGTTTTGTCTCTGTCACTCGAGTCAAAAGCAGGGCCCACAATGTTTGTTGGGTGAACAAATGAATGCAGAAAAATTGTCACTCAACGTCGGGTCAGGATGACCATTCTCTTGAAAATGTGGCTGTTTCATCCTAAATAGATCCAGCCATAATTTGACACATGTGCATATTTTTCTATGGACACCACTCACACCTGCTTTTACAAGCTGGAAACATAGATGCTGTATCTTCTTTCTCTTGGACCACATCTAGAATACACATCTTTGAGTCCTTGTATTCTCCCAGTGTTTCTTCTTTTCTTTCATGTGTCATTTCTGGATCTTGATCCATCCTAGGTGTACTGGGAAGGTGGTGTCCTTTCCCATTGTCGTGCTATTGGTAAAGTAAAAATCAGTGTTTGGATCAAGATTGTCAGTGGCTTTCCTCTTGCACATTGAATCGAGAGAAGGAACTGAAAGGCTGGTGATATGGGTCCAATTGTTTCTCCCCCACCCCCAACAGAGAGATTGAAGTTCTAACCACCAGTATTACTAAATACAGCCATATTTGGTGATAGGGTGTTTGCAGAGGAAATCCAACCAAATGGAGGTCATTAAAGTGGGTCCATCATCCAGTATGACCAGTGAACTTGTAAGAAGGGGAAATTTAGACACAGACAACACACAGGTAAAACACCATGTGAATATCAAGGCAGAGATCAGGGTGACATATCTACAAGACGAGGAACAGATTACCAGCAAACCAGCAGAAGCTAAGGGAGAGGCAGGAAACAGACTCTCCCTCTCAACCCTTGGAAGGAACCAACCCTACAACACCTTGATCCTAGGTTTTTAGCTTCCAGAACAGTGAGACTTTTGTTGTTCAAGCCATTTAGTTCATGGCACTTTATTACAACAGCCCTAGAAAACTAATGCAGATTCATTCAAAAGGATCTCAGGAATGGGGCTGGAGAAACTAGCAGCCTAGTGCATGCTGTTGAATTTAACAAGGACGGGTTAACCTTGCCAAGGCAGAACTGTCATTTCCTAAGGAAAGACATCAACTTCCCTTTGTTCTTCAATAAAGGGAAGAGACCCAGCTTGTTCTAAAAGGTTCTGCTTTAATACGGTTGGTCAAGGAACTGCGGAAAACAGCTGATGCTCAGGGCAATGGGAATAACAACTAATGCAAATCCTGGTTTGGAAACGCGGGGTCCTTTTATGGTTCTCTTAACGCACTCAAGGCACCGTACCATTGGGAAGCCTGCTGGTATTCATGCAGCAAGGAATGGCTAGTTAAAACACAGTGATCGCTGGCTAGCACAGTGACTCACGCCTGTAATCCTAACACTTTGGGAGGCCAAGGCAGGCAGATCACCAGAGGTCAGGAGTTTGTGACCAGCCTGGCCAACATGGTGAAACCCCATCTCTACAAAAAAGAAAAAAAGATTAGCCAGGCATGGTAGCACATGCTTGTAGTCCGAGTTATTTGGGAGGCTGAGGTACGAGAACCACTTGGACCCGGGAGGTGGAGATTGCTGTGAACTTGAGATCGTGCCACTGCACTCCAGTCTGGGTGACAGAGTGAAACTGTGTCTCAAATTAAAAAAAAAACAAACACCAAAAATGATCACCAAAGTTACTTCTATTTAATATATAAACTTTACATTTTTAACCATTAAACGTTTCTGTATTTTTAAAATAGTTCCAGCTGTCAACTGTAATAAGGTACCTTAATCTAGAAAGAGAACATCTTGAGAATTCTAAGACAATCCACATTCATCACTCATCAGCACTTCTGAGTGATTCGTGATACATAATTGCTCAAATAATCTTGCATAGAGCTTGAATTAGTTTTAAATGTCTCACTCATTTTTTTCAGTGTTCTAATTAGTGTTCTAATTCTTCCCTTCTGAAATGGAGTTTAAACAGCATGCAGAAATAATACCTGAGATTATTATGCAATTTTTAAATCATCTGTTCCAAGTGGTTTTCATAAACTTCTTTGTTACCTGAAAACTACACACAGAAGAGAGTCACAGTTTCATTTCAAATAGAAATCCTCTTGCAAGTGTTTCCTGTGGGACTCTTCAGTGTAGCAGATCTCTTTTGAAAATTGTCATTTCATTGAAATATTAAGGTTACCTTGTTAGCTTCTTGCTGCAAATGGCTGTCGATTTTCTTTTTCAGGCCATCTCCCGAGAAGACCTTCTCCTGCGCCTGCTGGAGTGTGATGTTATTATTTATAACATTACTGAGAGCCCACAGCAAGTGGAGGAAGCCATCTGGGCTGTCTCTGGTCAGTGAGGTGTACTCTTCTATCTCTAGAGATGCTATTGTAGTGCTGCTTACTTTACCTAATAGTCATCTATGAACACTAGGCTAAATAGGGCTAGAAAAAAACTGATCTGAAACTTCAGACCAGTCTCTGTATCAGACCAGTAAACTGGTATGGGACTTCAATTCAGTCTCATCGATTTCATATCTAAAGTATGGGTATAGTGGCACGAGCCTGTAGTCCCAGCTACTCAGGAGGCTGAGGCGGGAGGATATCTTGAGCCCAGGAGTTCAAGGCTATAGCGAGCTATGATCATGTCACTGCACTTCAGCCTGGGTAATGTTTCATTTTAAAAAGATGAAACTTTTTGTAATGTTTAATACATTCTCTGGTCAGTGAGGTGTACCTAAAGTATGAAATCCATGATAATAATATGCTTGCAGATAGATAGTTCAGAAGAATAGAATATTTTTAATTATCAAAAAATCCTAATACTTTGGGAGGCCAAGGTGGGAGGATTATTGAGACCAGGAGTTCAAGACCAGCCTGGACAACATGGCAAGACCTTGTCTCTACAAAATAAAATAAAATAAAACAAAATAAGGCCGGGCGCGGTGGCTCAAGCCTGTAATCCCAGCACTTTGGGAGGCCGAGGCGGGTGGATCACGAGGTCAAGAGATCGAGACCATCCTGGTCAACATGGTGAAACCCCGTCTCTACTAAAAAAAATACAAAAAATTAGCTGGGCATGGTGGTGCGTGCCTGTAATCCCAGCTACTCAGGAGGTTGAGGCAGGAGAATTTCCTGAGCCCAGGAAGCGGAGGTTGCAGTGAGCCAAGATCGCGCCATTGCACTCCAGCCTGGGTAACAAGAGCAAAACTCCGTCTCAAAAATAAATAAATAAATAAATAAATAAAATAAAATAAAATAAAATAAAACAAATACATATTTTTTTAAATGAAGCATTACCCAGGCTGAAGTGCAGGGACATGATCAAAGCTCACTTTAGCCTCGAACTTCTGGGCCCAAGAAATCCTCCCACCTCAGCCTCCTAAGTAGCCGGGACTACAGGCTCATGCCACCATACTCAGCTAATTGTTCTTTTGGTAGAGATGGGGTCTTGCTATGTTGTACAGGCTGATCTCAAAGCCCTGGCCTTAAGCAATCCTCCAGCCTCAGCCTCCCAAAGCACTGGAGTTACAGGCGTGAGCCATGATGCCTGGCCAAAACATTTAACTTTTAAAATTCAACCTGACTCATTCTGTAGGCACTGCTTAAGGAGGTGGGGTTGAATGTACTGGGGAGATACAAAGATAAGAAAAGCGTTATACACCAAGGCACAAGTCATCACACAAGAGACAAGGCATGCAAGAGAAACTTTAACACAATAAAGCAGGTGTGCGCACAAGAAAGTTATGTTTAAGAGCCTCGTGACTTTAGGAGGGGAGGAATTATTTCTAACTCTAAATATTTGATTCAATTCAACAAATGTTCCCTGATGGCAAAGGTCAGGGAAGGCTTGTAGAGAATGCTTGTATTTTGAAAGTGCTTTGAAAAATATAATGAACTTAAGGCCCTCAATTCTAAAAGAATGAAGTGGTGTTTAGCAAGGTGGTGCTTTTGTGATTCATGCTCCCCCAAACCAACCTCTTTTTTTTTTTTTTAGACAAGATCTTGCTCTTTCACCCACACTGGAGTGCAGTGGCACTGCCTTGGCTCACGGCAATCTCTGAGGCCTCCTAAGTTCAAGTGATTCTCCTGCCTCGGCCTCCTGAGTAGCTGGGATTACAGGCATATGCCACCATGCCTGGCTAATTTTTGTATTTTTAGCTGACATGGGGTTTCCCCGTATTGGCCAGGCTGGTCTTAAACTCCTGACCTGAAGTGTTCCACCCGCCTTGGCCTCCCAAAATGCTGGGATTACAGGCAGGAGCCACAGCGCCCAGCCAAGCAACCTCATTTAATACATCAAAATGCCTCCGTAGGAGCCTACTGATTGCGCTTTTCCGACCTTAACCACCGACTTCCTGCTGTGACAGATGGGCATCAGCCTTTCTTATGACTACCCTCTCCCCCTCAAGGGAACATAACCTTTTCTCAAGCTTTGACACTGTATTTCCTTTCATGAGCTTTAAAATGTAGGCAGTTTTTCTGCTTCCTCCTAATAAAGAGATTCAAATAATCAAGAAATTTACTTCTCTATTTAGAGGAAAAGTTTTAACTGAATTACTTTGTTTTTGGGATATACAGTGTTTGCGTCTGCAAGAAAGTATAGTCAGAGATCCTTCAGTCTGTCACCAGAGTCACCTGGGGGGTATGGGGTTGGCAAGGGATGAGGACTTTGTATTTTACCTGATGCACATTCTTAGATTCTGTTTTTCTTGCAATGGATATGTATTCCTTTTTTCCTTTTTTAAAAGGTCGGGTCTCACTCTGTCACCCTGGCCAGAGTGCAGTGGTACAATCATAGCTTACTGCAGCCTCAAACTCCTGGCCTCAAGTAATCCTCCTGCCTCAGCCTCCCAAGTAGCTAGAATTACAGGTGTTTACCTAGCTATATTTTTTTTAGTTTTTCGTAGAGATGAGGTCTAGCAATGTTGACCAGGCTGGTCTCCAACTCCTGGCCTCAAGTGATCCGCAGCCTTCAATGGTGCTGGGATCACAGGCATGAACCATCACACCCAGATACGTATCATTTTTCATAATGTTTTATTAAATTATTTTTAAATGTTTTAGACTTCTCCCACCTTGCCTTTTGCAGATATTATGGATGGAAGGCAAGATGACCGAAGAAAGAGGAACACATTATTAGAAATGAGAGAAAATATTTGCCTATAGATGAAGGTGTATTCAAAGGGGGACGAGCAAATCATTTTAGATCTATTATAAATATCAGAAACAAAAAAGGATAACCCAGTTAGAGGACCGCAAAGTGTGCCAAGTATTCACAAAATAGGCCAAACTGAAGCTCAGCAGAGCAGAAAGGTTAAAAGAGCAAAATAAATTGAAGAGAGAATTTTTGGTATTAGAATAAAAATAGAAACAAGGCCGGGCGCAGTGGCTCACGCCTGTAATCCCAGCACTTTGGGAGGCCGAGGCAGGTGGATCACGAGGTCAAGAGATCGAGACCATCCTGGTCAACATGGTGAAACCCCGTCTCTACTAAAACTACAAAAAATTAGCTGGGCATGGTGGCACGTGCCTGTAATCCCAGCTACTCAGGAGGCTGAGGCAGGAGAATTGCCTGAACCCAGGAGGCGGAGGTTGCGGTGAGCCGAGATCGCGCCATTGCACTTCAGCCTGGGTAACAAGAGTGAAACTCCGTCTCAAAAAAAAAAAAAAAAAAATAGAAACAAAATTGACACTTAAAGTTTGGATTAATACATGATCATAGTGGTGTTCTTAGACTTAATTCAGTAACACTTTCTCATTTTAGGGTAGAAATCCATACATTTATTAGATCCAGGATATCAGCATTTCATTTTTTCGCTTGTTTAGGGAATCACCTCATGATAACTAAAATCATACCATGACAGCTGCATCACTTAGCCTCTCTGACAATTAAATTAGACCTCACTTTGCAGCTTAGATACTTTTCTCTTTCTTTGAGACAGAGTTTCGCTCTTGTTGCTTAGGCTAGAGTGCAATGGTGTGATCTTGGCCCACTGAAACCTCTGCTTCCTGGGTTCAGGCGGTTGTCCTGCCTCAGTCTTCTGAGTAGCTGGGATTACAGGCATGTGCCACCATGCCCGGCTAATTTTGTATTTTTAGTAGCGATGGGGGTTTCTCCATGTTGGTTAGGTTAATCTTGAACTCCTGACCTCAGGTGATCCACCCACCTGGGCCTCCCAAAGAGCTGGGATTACAGATGTGAGTCACCGCGCCTGGCCTATATTTTTCTTGAAAATTATCCATCATGAAGAATATTTTAATGGAATCCCTTAGCCACATACATTCAAGGAGATTCGATGCTTAAATGTGTAGAGAGCCTTTCTGCAAAGCAATAAACCCTTTGGAAATTAAATGCTCATCTTTCTGTTTACCTCTATCCTAAATACAGATCCCTACAAGTTGTTGATAACCAAACATTTCTGCCTTATCAGTGATCTGCACTATAGCCCACAGCCCCAGGGATGGAGTGGGAATGGTGGGATCACCCCAAATTACTTCCTTCCACAGTGGCTTTCACTGAACAGGGCTGCCTTATGGGAACTCCTAAGAGGGCCTTACCTTCTGATGTAGGGCCTCTGCTGTTCCATCCCCAGCCTGCTCCCTTTTCTGGGCAGCTGGCTAGGTGGCATGGTGGAGACAGCACGGGTCTGGCAGCCAGACAGCCTGGATCGGACTCTGTGCCCCATCACTTCCCTCTATGATCCTGGGCAAACTGTGCCTCAGTTTCCACATCTGTAACACAGAATACCTCTCTCATAGTGAGAGGAATTCAACAAAGCCCATGAGTTGTTCTAATTCATGTCAGCTATGACCCTTACTTTCACCAGCCCTCCCAAAAAGTAGAAGCACATGGTCAGAGGCCAGAAACCAGGAAGGGACCACAATTTTGAACTCAGCTCAGAAAGTATCAGGCAACTGATGAGCATAGCGGACAGAAAGGGCTGCAGTGGAGAGCGCTGATGAGGCGGAAATGCTTGGTTCTGAACAGCCTGTGGGGATCCGTATTTCGGATACACGTGGTGAGAAAGGAGGGGGATTTGAAGAACAGTGATGGGAACAGGTCAAAGAAGCATCAGAGGTAACAGCGTCCTGGCATTAAATGGCTCCTATTGGTGACTAATAGTGCACGTGATTTAGGAAAAAACAAGTTGTGCCTGGGTCTGAATAACCACTCTGCTTTTTGGCCCCACAGCTCTGAATGAAGAAGTCAGCCACTTTGAAAAGCAGAAGGTATTTATTTTACTGTCCACAGTGTTGACCTGGGCAAAATCCAAATCCCTGGACCCCGTAAGTAGAGTGTTAGCTTTCCTTTAGGTAACATTTCACCCTTAACACCTTGTAATCTGTGTGCAGAGGGAGCTTCCTACAGCGAGTTGTGTATTCTCACACTCCTGAATCCTCTTCCATAGAAAACACCCAACAGAGTTCATTGCCTCTAAGCACATTCAATTCTAAGGGATTCCATTGTTTTATATGCCTCTAAGAAAGAAAAATATGCTGCTTATGAAACTATAGCAAAGCTTATTTATCACTTATACTTTGTATTTTAATCATATTGAAAGAGCTCTCTTTTAGACTTACTTAGACCCATATTGCTGTCACGTAACGTTCTTGTGCATACATTAAAAAGAAAATATAGGCTGGGCTCAGTGGCTCAGGCATGTAACCCCAGTACTTTGGGAAGCTGAGGCGGGTAGATCACCTGCGGTCAGGAGTTCAAGACCAGCCTGGCCAGCATGGTGAAACCCCGTCTCTACTAAAAATACAAAAATTAGCCGGATGTGGTGCTGGGTGCCTGTAATCCCAGCTACTTGAGAGGCTGAGGCAGGAGAATCGCTTGAAAACCAGAAGGCAGAAGTTGCAGTGGGCCAACATGGCACCACTGCACTCCAGCCTTGGGTGACAGAGTGAGACTCCATCTCTAAATAAATAAATAAATAGAAAATATATGTAAAACACAGTGATTATAGTGTTCCCAAAACTTCCTCATATTCAGACTCTATCTCTGAATCACACCACATTCTTTTTCTGTACAACTCAATATAAAACCTGAATCATGTCATTTGTTTGTAGTACCTTCCTATAAAGTACATGGTTATTATGTTGCAAGAGAACATGAACCACATTCTTCGAACATTGCTTATTCTCTTGACTAACGTCAAATTGGCATTTGCTGCTGTGTTCCCGTGCCTGTGTGCCTACGCACTACCTTTCCATTTCAGTGCTGAGTCACAGTGTACTCTTTCAAAAGGCAATGAAATCAACCCGAGTAGTACCTGAGACAACTTGAAGTGATAACAATGGCAACAGTATGTTCAAGGTCACTGAGTCACCCGTAGCCACACTGCCAGTGCTTCCTGGCTGACCACAATGATCAGCCATTGATTCCAGATGTGTTCTAATTTCAGAAATGATAATGTGAAAAAGTGCATGTTATGGTCAGTGAATATTATACATAGCAAGGAGATATTTAGGGATTCATCACACTTATTGCATCAAATGGTATGTAGTTGTTTAATTGCCTCAGTCCTTGAGGGCAGGGACCGTAGGTTTCATGCTCTTTCCTTGTAAAGTTTACTTACCTGCTTTGGATGCCATCACCTCAAGGAGCAGGCCATGGTCATTTTATTCCTGTTACAATCCCTTCCTTCAGAGTGTCCAGCTAAGTGTCCACTATAAAATAATTGTGAATTGATGGACTGGCTGATCACTGTGCTAGCGTCCTGACTGACTGTCCCAACCAAGATAAGCAAAATAATGAAGAAGTCCAATAACAGACTTCAGGAATGGCTGGACCCAGAGGATTCAACAATGTCCTCAATGCTCACCAAATCTCTCTCTTTCTTTTATGGTTTCTTTTCTACTCTGAGTAGACTTCACTCTCTAGTAAGCCTGCCCCTCCTTCTGGCTCCCAGCAACTCCCAGGCAGACATCCGACAAGCTTTGATTCCCTTTTCCCACTGTAGATCATGTCCCATCCTAGGACTGGAATGTGTGTTTGGGCAGGTCTTCAGTCATGAGCCTAACCTTGGACTAGTCACTGTGGCCAGGGGCATGACTGGCCAGACCCGGGATCATATGCCCACTTAGACAGCCAGGGATGATCAGCCCCCTACACTGCATGGACTGAGAGTGGAGAAGAGAAGGGTCCCCAAAGAAAACATGGGGCAATGGCTCCTGTGTTAAGCTCCTGTGTCCTTTTGGCATGCCCTTCTCCTCTCACTGTGGTTATAGTTTGCATTTCCCCAGTGACGAATGATGGTTTTCAAAGTCAGATTTATCAAGATATAATCAATGTACTAGGCCAGGTGTGGTGGTACATGCCTATAATCCCACCACTTTGGGAGGCAGAGATGGGGGGATTGCTTGAAGTCAGGAGTTCAAGACCAGCCTGGGTAACAAAGCAAAACCTCATCTCTACAAAAAATACAAAAATTAACCAGGCACAGTGGCGCACCTGTAGTTTCAGCTACTCAGGAGGCTGAGGTGGGAGGACTGCTTGAGCTGCGGAGGTCGAGGCTGCCGTGAGCTGAGATCATACCATTGCACTCCAGCCTGGGTGACAAAGTGAGACCCTGCCTCAAATAAATACATAACTTTACTATTTTATAGTCCTGAGTTTCCACAAATGCATACAGTTGTGAAACCACCACAGCAATCAGGATACAGAACACTTTCATCATTTTCAAAACTTCTCTACCTCATGCCACACACAAAGTCAATTCCAGGTGGATTACATAACTAAGATTAAAAGGCAAAACTTTAATCTTTTTTTTTTTTTTTTTTTTTTTGAGACAGAGTCTCGCTTTTGTTGCCCAGGCTGGAGTGCAATAGCATGATCTCAGCTCACTGCAACCTCCACCTCCAGGTTTAAGCAATTCTCCTGCCTCAGCCTCCCAAGTAACTGGGATTACAGGCATGTGCCACCACACCGGCTAATTTTTTGTATTTTTAGTAGAGATGGGGTTTCTCCATGTTGGTCAGGCTGGTCTCGAGCTCCCGACCTCAGATGATCCGCCCACCTCGGCCTCCCAAAGTGCTGGGATTACAGGTGTAAGCCACTGTGCCCAGCCATAAAACTTTAATTTTTAAAGAAAAATTAAGCCTGGCACAGCAGCTCACGCCTGTAATCCCAACACTTTGGGATGCTGAGGTGGGCAGATCATTTGAGATCAGGAGTTTGAGACCAGCCTGGTCAACATGGTGAAAGCCTGTCTCTACCAAAAAAACACAAAAATTAGCTGAGTATGTGGTACACGCCTATAGTCTCAGCTGCTCAGGAGGCTGAGGTGGTAGAATTGCTTGAACCTGAGAGGCAGAGGTTGCAGTGAGCAGAGATCGCTGCCACTGCACTCCATCCTGGGTGACAGAGTGAGACCCTGTCTCAAAAACAAAAAAAAGGAAAAATAGTAGAACTGATGGAGGATTCCTCAAAGAAGACCAAATGCTGCTAAATATTTTTTGATTGAGAAATCTACCTGCAGTAGGATTAATGAAGTAATAAATAATATTTGTGTTTGAGATTTACTTCTAAATAATCCAGGAGGATGAGGAAGTTAGTGGGGGTACAGATAGAACAAGGCCAATCATGCAAAACAAGTTTATTCCCAACAAGTCTAATTGAAGGGGGCGTGGCAGAAGGAGATGTGGCATCGTTTGAAGTCAGAGTGAGCTGAGTAACACTTGTGCTTGCAAGCAACAGAATCCAGCTTGCTTGCTTGCTTTTTTTGAGATGGAGTCTCACTCTGTCACCCAGGCTGGAGTGCAGTGGTACAATCTTGGCTCACTGCAACCTCTGCCTCCTGGTTCAGGTGATTCTCCTGCCTTAGCCTCATGAGTAGTCAGGATTACAGGTTCATGCCACCACACCCAGCTGATTTTTGTATTTTTAGTAGAGATGGGGTTTCACCATGTTGGTCAGGCTGGTCTCGAACTCCTGATCGTAATCCACCGACCTCGTGATCCACCCGCCTCGGGCTCCCAAAGTGCTGGGATTACAGGTGTGAGCCACCACGCACAGCCGAATCCAGCTTTCTTAATCAGAAAGAGGATATGTTAGAAAGATATAAACAATGTCTTACAAAATCAATGGTCAGAGATGCCACTCGGCATCGAGGGCTGGGAGCCAGGGGGAACTCAGTAAATCCTCCCACACTTTCCTCTCTGCTTTTCTCTGTCTCCTTGTCATCATCACAGGAAGTCTTTTTTATTTTGTTTTGTTTTTAGAGATGAAGTCTATAAAACAGAGACCTCTAAAGAAGGGTTTCCTCTGCCAGACTTCCTAGGGTTGGCTTTTGAAAGGAGAGTTCTAGCTGGACTCTAAATCGTAATCCCTGTAAGATAGACTTGGGATGGGTAGACGAAAGGTGAGCTGCAAGGACTCCTGGTACTTTCTTTTTTTACATTTTTATTTTTATTTTGAGACGAAGTCTCGCTCTGTCGCCCAGGCTGGAGTGCAATGGCACAATCCCGACTCACTGCAACCTCCGCCTCCCAGGTCCAAGCAATTCTCCTGCCTCAGCCCCCCGAGTAGCTGGGATTACAGGCGCCCGCCACCACGCTGAGCTAATTTTTGTGTTTTCAGTAGAGACATGGTTTCACCATCTTGGTCAGGCTGGTCTTGAACTCCTGACCTCAGGTGATCCACCCTCCTTGGCCTCCCAAAGTGCTGGGATTACAGGCATGAGCCACCGCGCCTCACCCTGACTCCTGGTACTTTCTTAGCTCCCCCTTGGCCTTGCAGTCCTTTTTTTTTGGACAATCTTGCTGTGTCACTCTGGCCGAAGTGCAGTGGCATGATCTCAGCTCACTGCAGCCTCCGCCTCCCAGGTTCAAGTGATTCTCCTGCCCCAGCCTCCTAGGTAGCTGGGATTACAGGCACATGCCACCACTCCTGGCTAATATTTTGAGTAGAGACGGGGTTTCACCATGTCATCCAGGCTGGTCTCAAACTCCTACTTCAGGTGATCTGCCCACCTCAGCCTCCCAAAGTGCCGGGATTACAGGTGTGAGCCACCACCCTCAGTCACACAGGAAGTCTTAACAGCCAAGGAAACCAGCTCTAAGTAAAGTAAGGGTCACTAACATAATAGGTTGGAAAAAATCATCGTCAGCTGATGACCTTGAAAGATAAGCTCTGTCACTAAGAAAAATGTCCCAACAGCAGCCTTTCTGAGCACCCCCAATACACAAATTGTATTTTCTAAGAATGTTTTCTGGTAGAAGTAACTCCAGGACTCTGTGGGAGGGAGTTGATTCCGTGTCTTGGGCCAGTGAAAATTGGGATAGGCTGGAACCTATTGTTGATGCTTGAGAGCCAAGATCTTTTCAGAGATGTCCTGGGCAGGCCTGAGAGGACAAAGAGGGCCCCCACCAGCCATGCTGTGGGAAGGCGAGCGCCAGGAAAGTGATTCTGCCTGCTGGGTGTTTTCCATCTGCCGCTCCAGGGCCACCCTCTGCTCTTCTCCACCCTGCTCTGAACTTGTGGTCTAAATCAGCAAGCAACGTTGTCCTCTGCTCCCAATTGGGTTTGGCCAATGGGACACACTGGTGAGAGAATGGGGGAATTGAGAAGAATGAGATCAGAGCACTTATCCCCCCAGCTCTCTTCTGCAGAGCTGTTTACCTCCTAGAAAGGCAGGAGGATCACTGGAACCCAGGATTTCAAGGCTGCAGTAAGCTATGATCAGGATACTGCACTCCAGCCTGGGCAAGAGAGCGAGGCCCTGTTTCTACAAAAAAGAGAAATTATATTTAATTTCTTATATATTTTTCTCTGTAGATTGTTTTCTTTACCTCCTAGAAAGAAGAAGCCTCTAAATAAGCTTAGTAATTATAACAAGATAGTAGTAAGGCAGGCTGTTTCCAGAAAAGCTGACAGCCATCGATATGTAACATAACAATGAAAGGAGAACGGCTGTAATGCCTGCTAAAGGAAAGGTCAGCCGCTCACCCTTTACTGGAAGGGCAAACGATGCAAGCAGTTGGGAGGAACTAAAACCCATGTTAAAGGTTTGGGTTCAAAATACACTGTATTTGTTGTTGTAACAAGTGAAATTTAAGGACTAAAGGGAACACAGCCCAGCAACTAGTCGCAAAGGTGCATAATACACAAACAGACCTATGTCCCAACCAGGAATCAAGGAATGACAGCCCAGAACCTGCAGCCCCATCTGGTTGGAATTTATGGACTACGGAGCCACTGGCCAGAGAGAGATTGATCTTCCTTTTCTATCAGTCACATTCTCAAAATGTCAGGGGAGAGACTGGCCGTCAAACCTGTGCTTCTCTCGTGGTTCACCTCATGGAATGTGACCATTTCTCTGGCAGCTGAGGACTAAGGGTGGGGCAAATCCAGAAGAGGGGTGTTGGGCCAGTCACAGGGAGCAGGAGGGGGGGTTCGGTGAGCTGGCCCACCACACCACGTGAGCCAGGGCTGCAGAGGGACCAGGACTCCATTCATCCTGAAGGCAAAGCTGACTGCACTGTTTCCAGACTCGATCTGGCAAGTGAATATAAAGGACACCCCATTAAATATGAATTTCAGATAGATAGTAGATAATTTTTTAGCATGCCCGTACCCCGTGACTAAAAAATTAGTCATTTGTTTATCTGAAATTCAAATTGAGCTGAAATTCAAATTCAGCCTCAGCCTTCAGCTACTTGGACTACTCAGGCGGTCGTGCAGCTGGGGCCTGCCTTTGCGCCTCCAATCCATCCTCCACAGCCCAGCCTCAGCTGTCTTGCTGAAATGTAATTCACAACCATGATATATCAATTAAAAAAATGTCAAAATATCACATGTACCTCCAGAATTGGTACAAGGGTGACATACGGAGTTAAAAATACATGTACCAATCAAAAGCAAGCCAGGTGGCTAAAAGAAAGAAATACATGTATTGCAATATTATATATTACTTCAAATATGTACATGATGATATATTAAAATATGTATCAAAATATTAAATATAATTCAGATCATGTTGCTGTCCTCCTTTAAAAGCTGAAAACCCAACTGTGTTTAGTAGCTCAAGCCTGTAATTCCAGCAGTTTGGGAGGCCAAGGCAGGAGGATTGTTTGAGACCAGGAGTTTGAGACCAGTCTGGGCATCACAGTGAGACCCTACCTCTATAAAAAAAAATTTTTTTAATTAGCCTGGCATGGTGGCAAGCACCTGTAGTCCCAGCTACTCAGGAGCCTGAAGTGGAAAAACAGCTATTCCCAGGAGGTTGAGGCTACAGTGAGCTGTGATTGTGCCACTGCACTCCGCCCTGGCCAACAGAGTGAGATCTTATCAAAAAAAAAAAAAAAAAAAAAAAGCTTAAAACCCTTCCATTGCCGTTGGAATGAATCTAAACTCAGCATGGCCCAGAAACCCTGATCATCTCTCTATCACCTACTGCACTCCTACCGATTCCCAGCTGGGCTCCAGTCATTTTCTCAGGAGCAGTCGTGCTCCTACCTCAGTAGGGGTTTACTTTCGTTTTTTGGTTTTGTTTTGTTTTTGTTTGTTTGTTTGTTTAAAAGGATTCTCGCTCCGTCACCAGGCTGGAGTGCAGTTGCACAATCTCAGCTCACTGCAACCTCCGCCTCCCAGGTTCAAGCGATTCTCCTGCCTCAGCCTCCTGAGTAGCTGGGATTATAGGCACCTGCCACCAAGCCCAGCTAATTTTTGTATTTTTAGTAGAGACGGGGTTTCACCATGTTGGCCAGGCTGGTCTCAACTTCTGGCCTCAAGTGATCCACCCACCTCAGTCTCCCAAAGTCCTGGGATTACAGACATGAGCCACCGCACCTGGCCTCAGTAGAGTTTTTATTGTGTGTTTCTTTGAACTCTTCGATTGTTTCCTTGTAAGTCCTTGGCTCAAATGCCTTGGATTGGTTATTTAACTTAGACCAATGTGTTGTGATTGAAAGGTTCCATATTGAACACCATATTTTTAAAACTCTGCTCCAACAAGGATCTCTGAATTTAGATAGATTTTTGCCAAATCACACTGTTGCATGGCTCTCCATTTTTTCTTTTGATTCCAGTAGGTTCTCATGTAGTTATTTTGGTTGCATCCCTCTATGGGACTTCACAGCGTGGGGGGTTGTGGAGAGACTGAATATGAGGTACGGGTCAGCGAACTGTCAAGAAATATTTTTCATTCCTCATTCCCAGGAGATACTTAATCTTAGCTAACGAAACCAGTTTTTAAAGCCTGAGCCGGCAACGTGCATGTGGAATGTTTTTTTAAACATGTTATTTATTCCAGGGAGGGCCTGTGTGGCAAAGAGAAAAAAGAAAAAACAATTTAGGTTAAAAAAATAAAACTACAGGCTGGGACGAAGTGGCTCATACCTGCAATCCTACCGTTTTGCAAGGGCAAGTCGGGAGGATTGCTTAAAGCCAGGACGTGGAGACCAGCCTGGGTAACAATCTGAGGCTCTGTTTCTACAAAAAAGAAAATAAATTAGCTGGGCACAGTGGTGTGTGCCTATAGTCCCAGCTACTAGGGAGGCTAAGGCAGGAGGATCACTGGAACCCAGGATTTCAAGGCTGCAGTAAGCTATGATCAGGACACTGCACTCCAGCCTGGGCAAGAGAGCAAGGCCCTGTTTCTACAAAAAAAAGAAATTATATTTAATATTAATACCTCTGTGGAATCTCAGTGGCAACCTGTTACCACCTCTGCAAAAGAAGACTTAGTTTTTAATTTTGTTTAGATTAAATTTAAATTATAAAATTTATCTCCTACAGCATTTTTAGGAAGAGTAAATTACTATTCAAATAAGTGGCATGGTTGGGCACAGTGGCTCACGCCTGTAATTCCAGCAGTTTGAGAGGCCAAGGCAGGCGGATCACCTGAGGTCAGGAGTTTGATACCAGCCTGGCCAACATGGCAAAACCGCATCTCTACTAAAAATATAAATAGTAGCCAGGTATGGTGGCAGGAACCTGTAATCCCAGCTGCTCGGGAGGTTGAGGCAGGAGAATCACTTGAACCTGGGAGGTGAAGGTTGCAGTGAGCCAAGATCGTACCACTGCACTCCAGCCTGGGTGACAGAGTAGGACTCCATCTCAAAAATAAATTAAATAAAAAAGAAAAGAAAAGAGAAGAGAAGAAAAAACAAACAAAAAAATAAATTAAATTAAATAAGCAGTATGGCCAGGCTCAGTGGTTCATGACTATAATCCCAGCACTTTGGGAGGCCGAGGCAGGAGGATCGCTTGAGCCCAAGAGTTCGAGACCAGTCTGGGCAACACAGCGAGACCCTGTCTCAAAAATAAGAACATAAAATAAGCAGTAGTTGTAAGCTCTGTTTGAGCTTAAAGGAACACATCTTTAGCCTTAGAAGTCACACATTTCTCTAACTCACCAAGTCTGTACCTTTTCTTTCTTTCTTATAATAGGAGGATTCTGAGGTTCCATTCACTGAAGAAGATTATCGAAGAAGAAAAGCTCATCCTAATTTTCTGGACCACATAAATGCTGAAAAAATGGTTCTCAAATTTGGAAAAAAGGTAAGTCTGTCATAATGCAACATGGACACCATCTGAAGTCTTTGAACATCTCTTTGCTTAGTTTCCCGGGTCTTACACCCACAGATGTCTGAGCGTTAGACTCACCCCAGGACGCCCTGTCCTTAGGGGTCCTGGCCCAGGTTCTGGTCCAGCACATTGGGTTGAATGCCTTCCATCACCACCCAGCCGAGTTTGAGCCCTCACCTGCAAAGGGGTCTGTGTGTCTGAAAAGCTGTCTGGCTCAGAAGAGGCAAATAACCCAGAGTTGGAATGGGGAACAGGGGAACCACATTTTCCCTGTTCCCAAAATCTTTCCCGTTTGTTTCTTTTTTTTTCTTTTTTTTTTTTTTTTTTGAGATGGAGTTTTGCTCTTGCTGCCCAGGCTGGAGCGCAGTAACACAATCTCAGCTCACTGCAACCTCTGCCTTTTGGGTTCAAGTGATTCTCCTGCCTCAGTCTCCCCAGTAGCTGGGATTTCAGTGGCGAGCCACCATGCCCAGCTAATTTTTTTATTTTTAGTAGAGACAGGGTTTCACCGTGTTGGCCAGGCTCGTCTGAAACTCCTGACTTCAGGTGATCTGCCCACCTTAGCATCCCAAAGTGCTGGGATTACAGGTGTGAATCACTGTGCCCGGCCCCCATTTGTTTCTTAAAACAACTCTGAAAAGTGCCTATTAACTTCATCTTACGAATAAAGAGATGGGAGCTTCCAGAGGTTAAATAATTTGCCCTAGGCTAGGTCACATAACTAGGATTTACTAAGCACTGTCCTGAGCACACCTCGGCCTCGGCCTCGGCCTCGTCTGAGCTACTCCTTCTAACAAGACTATTATCTACCCACATTGTTGTCCTCGTTGCGTTTCCTGGCGTGGAGCTGAGATTCAGAGCTGTCAGCCACCAAAGCCTGTGGGGTTTGCTTTTTTTACTTTGAAATCCAAAATCCCATCATTCAATAGAATTTATCTTGACACATCCTTGATCATTAAGACATTCCTGTAGCTAAGAAGTTCACGTAAACAATATTAAAAGCTTATTAGCTTTCTGTCCCAGCAAAATTCATCATTTTGATATAGCCATGATAAAATTATTTTATTTATCTTGCCTTTCATCAGAAAAGATGATGGGAATGCCCTGGCAATGAGTAAGTAGTTATTTTTTATTTATTATTTTTCATTCAGGGTTTTTGTTTTATTAGACTATAAGGAAACAGCAGAATTAACACAAAATTCAGCAATTCCAGATCAGCTTTTCTTACCCCCATGAAGAACAGTCAGTTGAACAGACACAGACGTAGAGATATCGGATAAGCTGACAGCCAGCTCTGCTGCCCATGTAGGGGGTCATGTCCCAACAACAGTAAAGCCGCTCTGCCTTCGCCTTTTTACAGGATTGGTCTTTAAAAGGACCAGCGTGAGATACTGACACCTATTAAGGCATCTGAGAGGCCCATGTTGGGGCTGAGCCTCAATGCCAGCGGCTGGTTGTCTAGCGACAGCGCCACAAAAACATGCTGCGTGCAGTTCTGGTCTCGTACCACAAAGGCAGAGGCAACCAATCCTTTTGTTTCTTTTTTTTTTTTTCTTTTTTAACCTCCCTTAAAGATTCTTTGATGCTTTGCTCTATTACTGTAGACATGGGTCTATTTCTGCCTAATTTTTTCTTCTTTAAATTCTGGGTTGCTATTTTCATATTAACATTTTGATGACCCCATTACAATACCAAAATATCCCCCAAAATGAAGTTCAAATTTTATCAAAACATAAACCAGAGTGAGTGACTAGAATAATAAAGGCCAGGCAGCAGGAAAAGTCACCCTAAGCCACCATCTGACCACTGAAGTCTTGCCTGTCCAAAGAGGAGGGCGGGAAGAGGAGAAATCTATTGTACACCCAGCACTGAACTGGAGAACACGGCTTGGGGCCTCCTGGGCCTCCTGGATGGTCCAGGTCTCCCAGCTGCCCCCTGCTTCCCAGATTGTCCCACTTGGCCGGGTAACACGTGTTGGCCACCGGGGCCCCGGGTGTCCTTTTTACGGAAGGACATCACCTGTAATTTGCCACAGTGGTCTCCGGATTGGTTGCTGAGGATGGGCCCGTCACACTTCAGTGGCCTGTGTCCTTGGGAGGCCCGGAGCCCGCATAATCAGAGAGGACTGTGCCACCTCGGACGTCATTGCCTTTCATGTTGACCCCCCAGGAAACGGTGCCATTCCTGCATTTGGGATCTTTCCTGCAGGGAGCATCCGGGCCTGTCAAGACCAAGGTGTAGAGATTCCCTGAATCAAGAGCATCCCACGAAATGCTGGTGGGTCTGTGCTTCACCTGGGTGGGCGTCGGTACTGTACCCTGCTCATCCACCGCCGCTGCGTGTCGGTGACATGCAGGGAGCGCTGCGGCTGCTCGTCCACTTCCTGCAGGCTCCAGGCGGAGCGCGCAGCCAGGAGTGCCACGAGGGGCGGAGTGGGGGTGGGGACAGGCGCGGGGGGCAGTGGCGACACAGGGGCCTCCGCCAGCTGAAAAATTAAGGAGGGCTCACTACTGTGTACTCAGCACAGCTCTCAGTGTTTTACTCATGGTACCTCATGTCATCTTCAAGAGTCTCATATACAATTCCCAAAATTCTGTGAGGCAGGTGCTACTGTCATCCTCATTTAACTTGTGGAAAGCCCCAAACCCTCTGAAAGTGCCATTACATTTTTCCCGTTAGTGGAAGACCGGCACTAAGTGAACTGCAATAATAGTTATAAGATGACACCTAGTGGTCTCAGATGATATTACCATAGGAACTTCTGTAAAAAACACTTGACCAATCCAAGCACTGTGAGTGTAAAACATTTGAAGAAACAACAGAAAATGAGGAATTCTAGACCTTTTTCTGTCCGTTAACTTATTACCTTAGCCAAGTTATTAAACTTTTGAGATTAAAATAAGTAAAAGGGGCCGGGCGCGGTGGCTCACGCCTGTAATCCCAGCACTTTGGGAGGCCGAGGCGGGTGGATCACGAGGTCAAGAGATCGAGACCATCCTGGTCAACATGGTGAAACCCCGTCTCTACTAAAAATACAAAAAATTAGCTGGGCATGGTGGTGCGTGCCTGTAATCCCAGCTACTCGGGAGGCTGAGGCAAGAGAATTGCCTGAACCCAGGAGGCGGAGGTTGCAGTGAGCCGAGATCGCGCCATTGCACTCCAGCCTGGGTAACAAGAGTGAAACTCTGTCTCAAAAAAAAAAAAAAAAAAAAAAAATAAGTAAAAGGGCTAGATTTGATGATTTAAATTTATTCTAGTTCTTTTTTTTTTTTTTTTATTTAAACAGGGTTTCACCATGTTGGCCAGGCTGGTCTTGAACTCCTGACCTCAGGTGATCCGCCCGCCTCGGCCTCCCAAAGTGCTGAGATTACAGGCGTGAGCCACCACGCCTGGCCTATTCCAGTTCTAAATTCCGTAAATATATTACTTTATTGGAACCCGTGATTTCTTGATCATTTATGTTTAATTTACAGGTTGAAAATGTATGCTCACGCATATAAAGCTGATTCAAGTGAATAACATGAAAAATATGATCATCTTTACATCTTTTATTACAAAACATTAACTTGTCATTTAAATAATAAAACCAAAATTTCATTGTAAAAATCTATTCTTTTTACCCCCAACTTTCTTAATCACTCTTTTCTACACCATTAATAAGATTGATTCGGCCAATTTGGTCATCCCAATGATCCATTTTGATCAGTGATGCTAATGTTTTCATCTAGGAGATAGACCTTTGGAAATATTTAACACATTCATTTAACAAATATCCAGTTAAATCCGATTATGGACCAGGCACGTGTGATGAGGAGCTGTCCTCACAGCCATCGATAAAGCAGACACAGTCTATGTGCTCTGTGTTGTCAAGTGTTTATCTACTGTTATTACATCCTCAGGCAGCACATTCATATACAAGACTACGTACACAAAAGGTGAACTTCTATTCAGTACTTTGAGGCAAAGAGGAGTCCCTAATAATTATATAAGTTGCCAAAATAGTCCTGAATTGCCTGATACCAAACTTACTTTCATATTTTATTTTATTTTATTTTACTTGAGATGGAGTCTCACTCTATCGCCTAGGCTGGAGTGCAGTGGCATGATCTTGGCTCACTGCAACCTCTGCTGCCTGAGTTCAAGCAATTCTCCTGCCTCAGCCTCCTTGAGTGGCTGGGATTACAGGCCCCTGCCACTATGCCTGGCTAATTTTTGTATTTTTAGTGGAGACAGGGTTTCACCATGTTGGCCAGGCTGGCCTTGAACCTCTGACCTCATGATCCATCCACCTCAGCCTCCAAAAGTGCTGGGATTACAGGCGTGAGCCACCATGACTGGCTGATTTCATCTTTTAATAAGTCGCACTGATTTTTTTTTTTTTCTGAGATGGAATCTTGCTCTGTTGCCCAGGCTGATATGCAGTGGCATGATCTCGGCTCACGGCAACCTCCACCTCCCAAGTTCAAGTGATTCCCCTGCCTCAGCCTCGCAAGTAGCTGAGATTACAGGTGCACACCTGCACACTCAGCTAAACTTTGTATTTTTAGTAGAGACAGGGTTTCACCATGTTGGCCAGACTGGTTGTGAACTCCTGACCTCAGGTGAGCCACCTGCCTCAGCCTCCCAAAGTTGTAGGGTTACAGGTGTGAGCTACCACACCCGGCCTTGATTATGTAGAATATGTTAAAATACTGTATTTAAAAATAAAAGTATTGGGCTGGGTGTGGTGGCTCACGCCTGTAATTCCAGCACTTTGGGAGGCCAAGGTGGGCAGATCATGAGGTCAAGAGATCAAGACCATCCTGGCCAACATGGTGAAACCCTGTCTCTACTAAAAATACAAAAGTTAGCTGGTCATGGTGGCACATGCCTGTAGTCCCAGCTACTCAGGAGGCTGAGGCAGGAGAATCACTTGAACCCGGGAGGTGGAGGCTGCAGTGAGCTGAGATCGCACCACTGCACTCCAGCCTGGC